AGATGTCCTCTGCAGTTTGCGGTTTGCGTCAAATACCTCTGCACGCTCAAAGCCAACGGGCAGCTTTGTCCACGTTAACGTCCCTCGGCGTGGGTCGGATGATCTAGCCAGGAAGAGGGCCCTCCCCAAGCTGCAGTCGGCCGGCACCTCCACCTCGGAGCCCCGGCCTCCGGAACTGTGAGAAACAAGACTGTTGCTCAAACCCCGCCTGCTGGTCCCATGACAGCAGCCCCGGCTCAGACGGGGGCCGGTCCTCTTCTTCGCTTTTTCGTGGTTACTCTGAAATTTACAGTACATTAGCACCTCGGCTTCAATAGCTGTCGCAGGCGACTGTACAAAAATACATGTATTTGTCAGAGCGTCTGCACTTTCCTTGGAAATCTTCCAGTGTAGTTGCTGTGACGTCATTTTTGTTGACTGATTTATGAGTCGACGCTTTAGCCCCAGGAGCCGTCAGCTAACTAGTTCTCCGAGCGGAGCACGCAGCCCAGCTGGTCGGCCGGCATGTCGTCTGACAGGACCACCCGGGAGAGGTGGCGGCTACACGTCCTTCCGTTACCTGCAGCTCGCCCCAGGCTGACGTTTTACCAATTAGTGTCGGCAAGGGTACCCCAAAATATACACATTTTTATTATTCGAAGTTGGAAACCTGCTAATGAGCACAGCGGATATATGAGCTGGCTGTAGCTCAGAGGCATTCCAGCCCTGGGAGTGTGTGTGTCTTGGCGGGGGGGACTCTGGCCAGAGCCCTCGCTGGTCCTGTGTCCAGCCGTGGGTACAGGAGGGCCGCTGGCGGCGTCATGCCGACCAGAGGCAACCGGAAGCTGCCGCGCCTGCCCAGGTGCGTTCCAGAGCGCTGATCAGAACGGGGATGACTCATGCTTGGAGGCCCAACCAACAGTTTAATGCCTGCTTCGCTGAGTGACATTCATCTAATAAATGCCATTCTGTGTGTCAGAGTCGGGTCTGAGACTTGCTTCTGTTGTCATCCAGTCGTGAGGCGGTAGGTGGGGGGCTAAGCGCTCCTGCTCAGGCATTTTTGGTAGCTACTGTTATTAACCAAAAGGACTTTCCAGGTGTGCATGGTACAGTGGTAGCAGAGTAAGCTGAGCTCCCACAGACTCAAAGGGTGGACGTACGTTGCTGACTCTGCTTAGTAAATCACGATATTCATTTTTCAGCCTCATCTACTACTTACGCAATTTTTAAAAATTGGCTGGTAAATTTTCGTCTCTCCTCATGTCGGCCAGGTTTTCTTATAAACTGGCGGAAAGATGTTGTAGTTTGAAATGTTTAACAAAATAGTTACAACATCTCTGGAATAGCCCCCATGGAGGATTTCTAAAAAAGTAAGTTTATTTAAAGTGAACAAATATGAGAATTTTTAATAGGCAAAATAATTATATTTGGCAACAAAATAATATGACCATGGAGATCATTCCTCACATCTGTTTTCAAAATTGTAGGAAGCATTTCTTTCAAAAGAGGCTGTTTTCTTATTCATCGTTCAAAACGTTATCTCTGCATTTCAAGAGCAGGCACGTGTATGTCTATGTGTGTTTAAGTATCTTCCGGGTAGCCATTTGCTGTCAAAAAGCTGCAAAAAAACTGCAAAAAAAATTGCCAAGAGGAATTTTAAAAGACCTACATAAGTGGAGAGACGTATCACGTCCGTGGATCAGGACTCGATCCTGCAATGATGTTAGTTCTCCCAAGGGTCAGTGCGGTCAGTGCTAAGCAACAGCTCGGGAGATTTTATTAAAAATAGAAATCGACAGTCTGATTTCAAAACTGTTATGGGAAACACAGAGGAACTACAATGACCGAAATAACCGTGAAGAAGCTGCACTCACTAAGAGGACTCATACTCCCTGATTTTAAGACTTACAAAGTTACAGTAACCAAGGCGGAATGATATTGACATACAAATAGATACATTGGTCAGTGGGACAGAATGGAAGGCGAGAGATGACACAGCCACCAGTGGTCAACTTATTTATGGTGAAGGTGGAAGACAGCTCAAAGAGGAAAAGACAGTCTTTTCGACCAACGGCGCCGGAACAATTAGACCTCTCCTGAATGGAGAAGTATAAACCTCCACCAGATCTCACATTTTGAAATTAATTCAAAATCAATTATAGACCTAAATGTAAACTCTAACACTCTAAGACTTCTGAAAGAAAACATCAAAGAAAGTTTTTGGGCCCTTGGGTTAGACAAAGATTTTATAGATGCAACATCAACGTGACAATCCATGAATGAAAACGCGACAAGTTGGATTTCATCAAAACTAAGAACTCTGGTCTTTGAAAGAAACTGTCAAGAGAATGAGAAGCGAAGCCACAGACTGAGAGAAAGTATTTGAAGAGCCCATGTCTGTGAAAGAACTTGTAAGCAGACTACACAGAGATCCCCTAAAATCAAATACTAAGAAAATAACCTAATTTTAAAAATGGGCGGTGAAACTATTCTGTATGACGCTGTAATGCTGGGGACATGTCATTTCCCATTTGTCCAAGCCACAGAAAGCACACTGCCAGGGTGACCGTGATGTAAACTGTGGACTTCACTTAATAACAATATATCAACAAGTGTCCTACATGAATACAAGATGTTAACTGTTGCAGGGCGCGACACCCGACAGAGGACTTTGGACACTCAGATGACTTTGTCAGAGGAAGAAGAATACATTAGCCGGCAGAGCATGTGGGGCTTAACAGCACCAAAGCGCGAACTTCCCTTGGTTAGATTTCTTGCAGCTGCTTATATACCTCTGCGGTGTCCATGCGAGGGGCGCGTGAGTCCTTTGTCTGAGGTTTTGCGTGCACCTCATGACTCGGGATGGAGAGGGGGAGTCTCGGGTGGGGACTGCAAAGGGGGAAGGAATTTCCAGACCACGGGTCTTACCTGTCTACAGGTCATTTGTCTTGTGGGTGTGACGAGAGTTTCTAGAAGGCTGTTCAGAGATCTGTAGGATGTGGTTACTCTGTAGCCGCCCGAGTCAGTCATTTCTGCGAGCCCTTCCCTCGTCTGCCTTCTCTCCTCTCTTAAGTGATAGGAAAAGCAAGGGACAGGCAGGGGCGAGAGGCGGTGTGAGCCGTGTGCGGGGACTGGACACTTTCTGCTCAATTTTCCCGTAAACCTAAAACTGCTCAAACAATAAAGCTTACCATAGGGGAGAAAAATTTAATAAAACTTTCCTCCTACCTTTCTAAGTTCTGGCTGGACTAATAACGATCAAATTAATACAAAACAGATTAACAAGAGAAACCAGTTTTAATTACGCACGTCCACGGGGATGTGCGGGAGGGTTGGGGGTTTCCGTAAGATTATGGGGCCCCAGGACAAATCAGGCAAGTAAGTAAGATCACGTCCGTGGATCAGGACTCGATCCTGCAATGATGTTAGTTCTCCCAAGGGTCAGTGCGGTCAGTGCTAAGCAACAGCTCGGGAGATTTTATTAAAAATAGAAATCGACAGTCTGATTTCAAAACTGTTATGGGAAACACAGAGGAACTACAATGACCGAAATAACCGTGAAGAAGCTGCACTAACTAAGAGGACTCATACTCCCTGATTTTAAGACTTACAAAGTTACAGTAACCAAGGCGGAATGATATTGACATACAAATAGATACATTGGTCAGTGGGACAGAATGGAAGGCGAGAGATGACACAGCCACCAGTGGTCAACTTATTTATGGTGAAGGTGGAAGACAGCTCAAAGAGGAAAAGACAGTCTTTTCGACCAACGGCGCCGGAACAATTAGACCTCTCCTGAATGGAAAAGTATAACCCTCCACCAGATCTCACATTTTGAAATTAATTCAAAATCAATTATAGACCTAAATGTAAACTCTAACACTCTAAGACTTCTGAAAGAAAACATCAAAGAAAGTTTTTGGGCCCTTGGGTTAGACAAAGATTTTATAGATGCAACATCAACGTGAGAATCCATGAATGAAAACACGACAAGTTGAATTTCATCAAAACTAAGAACTCTGGTCTTTGAAAGAAACTGTCAAGAGAATGAGAATTGAAGCCACAGACTGAGAAAGTATTTGAAGATTCCATGTCTGTGAAAGAACTTGTAAGCAGACTACACAGAGATCCCCTAAAATCAAATACTAAGAAAATAACCTAATTTTAAAAATGGGCGGTGAAACTATTCTGTATGATGCTGTAATGGTGGGGACATGTCATTTTTCATTTGTCCAAGCCACAGAAAGCACACCGCCAGGGTGACCGTGATGTAAACTGTAGACTTCACTTAATAACAATATATCAACAAGTGTCCTACATGAATACAAGATGTTAACTGTTGCAGGGCGCGACACCCGACAGAGGACTTTGGACACTCAGATGACTTTGTCAGAGGAAGAAGAATACATTAGCCGGCAGAGCACGTGGGGCTTAACAGCACCAAAGCGCGAACTTCCCTTGGTTAGATTTCTTGCAGCTTATATACCTCTGCGGTGTCCACGCGAGGGGCGCGTGAGTCCTTTGTCTGAGGTTTCGCGTGCACCTCATGACTCAGGATGGGGAGGGGGAGTCTCGGGTGGGGACTGCAAAGGGGGAAGGAATTTCCAGACCACGGGTCTTACCTGTCTACAGGTCATTTGTCTTGTGGGTGTGACGAGAGTTTCTAGAAGGCTGTTCAGAGATCTGTAGGATGTGGTTACTCTGTAGCCGCCCGAGTCAGTCATTTCTGCGAGCCCTTCCCTCGTCTGCCTTCTCTCCTCTCTTAAGTGATAGGAAAAGCAAGGGACAGGCAGGGGCGAGAGGCGGTGTGAGCCGTGTGCGGGGACTGGACACTTTCTGCTCAATTTTCCCGTAAACCTAAAACTGCTCAAACAATAAAGCTTACCATAGGGGAGAAAAATTTAATAAAACTTTCCTCCTACCTTTCTAAGTTCTGGCTGGACTAATAACGATCAAATTAATACAAGACAGATTAACAAGAGAAACCAGATTTAATTACGCATGTCCACGGGGATGTGTGGGAGGGTTGGGGGTTTCCGTAAGAATATGGGGCCCCAGGACAAATCAGGCAAGTAAGTAAGTCACCTTCAGCTGAGGAGAAAAGGGCTAGAGAGACTTGGGACTTCAAAGGGCAGGACAGTAATTCACATGGAAATGAAACATCAAATGTCTGGTAAATAAACGTTTGCTGGGCCATGGTCAGCGATGGGACACAGAGAGGACGCGGAGCCAGCCGCCTTGCGGGAGCCAGCGGCCTGGCAGTGCCCCCTGCCTATCACACACTCGTTCATACAAAGCTGTGGTCATCTGTGAGCCCCCCTTGCTGGAGCAGGCCCTCACCCACATTCCCTCAGGCAGTGACGGGGCAGGTCGAAGTTCCTCCCTGAGGCTTGGTTTCTTAAAGATACCAGCTTAAAATAATCAGTAGCCCAAAAGGCATATGCAGGGAGAGGGGCGGGTTGCAAACTCTGCTTCTACCTCACTATCGATATCAGAAAAAGAAACTGTGTCATGTATGAAATAATTGATCTGTTTTCCCAGAGCGTGGGCTCTTGCTATTTTGGTTAGCTCGTGCCGCCGCTGGCAGGAAAACGAACTCTCTTCCCGTGGCTTTCCACAGCGGCAGCCGTGGCTCTGCTCCGGCCTCTGGAGCAGGGCTTCCCACGGCCCCATGCCGGCTCTGAGGGAGACGCGGGTGGGGTCGGAGGGTCTTCCTTTCCGGCGGTTTCCTAGGTGATCGGGGCAGAGCGGGGACTGGCCGGGGTTTGAAGACTTTAGAATAAAGCTTTGTCTCGAAAGTGGTCCCAGCAGCATGTGGTGAGCTGGAAAATCAGACTCCAGACTTGGCTCCACATATCACAAAATGGGTGGTCCCGACAAAGTCCCCACCGCTCCGAAGACCACAGGGGACTTCTGCTGGCCTCCTGCTCCGTCCCCAGGACGCAGCCAGTCTGCTCCAGTTGGCGCGGTGCTGGCAACAACCTCAGGGTGACCCACCAGCCCCCATGTGTCTGGGGACTTTCCTGGTTCGGTTCTGAAAGCCCGGGTCCCGGTCGTGGGCGGAGCCGGGCGGGTGGCTGGACGACCGCTGAACCCCGGAGTTCCTTATTTCTCAGCCGCCTTCAGGGAGGACATCAGACACGAGGGGACGTGCCGCGCTGATAAACGGCCCCGTCCTCAGCCAGAGACTGGCACGGGCCCAGAGGATGCTCCTCACGCAGCCGGGGTGCGTGCCCGGCCCCGCTTCCACCCCGGCCAGATGCTCTTCGTCCCCCACCCCCACTGGAGGAGCCCGAGGGACGCCGAGACGGCCCTGTCACGTGGACCAATGTCCTGGGGGAGGATTTACAGACAGACGGTGTGAGTCGAATCACAGGCAGGAAATTCCATTTCCAGACCTCATTGGAATTCTTTACTGACTCATTATATTCAAAGTACATTTCCCTTTGCAAATGGAGCAGAGAAGCCTCTCCAGCCCGAGGCCCAGCCCCCAGGACCCCCAAGGTCAGAGTTAACCTTGGGTTAACCTTGGGCATGCGAGGGTCAGGTGGGCAGGCAGGACGGCCGACGCCTTTCGATGGGAGATCAATGTCTCGCCGCCTTGGCACAATCTCGGATGTCCCTTAGAGGCTGGATTTTCATCTTGGAGGCCCTTTTCTCCAGTAAGAGATATTACTCTATACCAGAGTGACTTTCTGTCTTTCTTTTTTAATATTCCAAAGAAAAGAAATCTTTGTCCTTTTAAGAAAGAAATGTTTGCTGTTTCCAGGTCTCTGGTAGAAGTTGAGCTGTCTGTAATGTTTTGGGAGTCCTCGGAGGGACCAGGGACTGCTCAAGCCCAGCCTGGCCTTGAGGACCCCGTCCCGAGGCGGGCGATGTGATGAGCAGCTAGCAAGGAGGACAGTTAGGGACTGGGCAGGGACTGGCCAGAGGGCGTCTCGGGACATCTCCCGGAAGAACTTCAAGGGGAATTCGAGAGGTGTCCCCTCAGGGGACAGTCAGCTGTGACCGAGCCCAGCTGCAAGGTGTGGGGCTGCAGTGGCTGAGAAGTCCAGGTCCCCCAGACGAGGTTCTGGTGTACACCAGAAAGCGCTTGTCTCTGAGTCGGTCCGCCCAGATTTCTCGTTTGTTCCGTCGGCGATTGTTCTGCCATGGCCCAAGGGCAGCAAGACTCGCTCCTGGGGAACACGGACCCCTCCTGGACCAGGGGACCCCCAGCCTGCCTGCACTTGGACCCAAGGGCACTTTGAACACTGGGGCATTTGGCCCTGGCCCCCTGCGGTGGGCCAGGCACCGCTAGTGCTGTGGCTTCCACGGGCAGCACCGGGCTCTGCCTGGTCCCCCTGCAGGCAGAGGCACCTGCTGCTGCGAAGCCCTCCCACTGACCCGCCCTGTTTCCAGCTGGGGTGGCTCGAGATCGAAGCATTTCTGTGCCTGGGGAGGCCTCGCCCCAGGGCCTGCCGTGCGAGCCCCATGAGAGAAGGTCCCCAGGCCTGCACGGTGCCTGCCCTTGGGATGGCCTTTGGGGACTAGTGAGCGGGACACATCTCTGGCCACACTGCTCTCTTCATGAAGAAAGAGTCCCCTGCTGGGCTAGCCTGGCAGGCAGGCTGGCCCTCCTTTCCTCCTAGGACACGCCTGGGCAGGAGGACAAAGGCCGCCCATCCTCCTGTCCCCTGTGCCAGGAAGCCAGCAGGAGGATGTGTGACAGGGCCAGAGTAGATGGAGGGGGTGTGCATGCGTGTGTGCGCACGTGTGTGTGTACATGCGAGCGTGCACGTGTGTGTGCATGTGTGTGCGTGTGCGCATGTGAGTGTGCACGTGTGCATGTGAGTGCATGTGTGTCTACATGTGTGCATGGGTGCGCGCGTGTGCATGTGTGAGCGCATGTGTGTGTGCGCATGTGTGCGTGCGTGTGTGCATGTGTGTGTGCATGCGTGTGTGTGTGAGAGAGAGAGAGAGAGAGAGACCCTGAGTGTATTACTCAACTCTACTGAGCTTCTATTCCTCATCCGTAAAGCAAAGATAATATTAATAGTAATTCTAATAGGTAACATTCATATAGTGTTTGTTATGTTCCAGGCAGTGTTCTAAGTGCTCTACTTGAATTATCTCCTTGGACCCCATGACAATTTAATTGTCTGGCTTACAGATGGGGACACTGAGGCAGAGAGCATTTACAGAACATGCCCTGGGCCACACGGCTGCTCAGTAGGGGGCCAGGGTTGCTCAGGGGCTAAGCCTCTGCTCCGGTCTCCCAGATGCTAAGTGGCAGCGAAGAGAGCCAAGCTTACTCAAATCCAGGCTGTGGGACAGGGAGGTTTCTCTTCAGAACTTTGATGAGCCCTAAGTAAACATTTTAAATTGCAGCTATTCAGGTCCAGGGAGGATGTTGGTGTAGATAATTATCCCTACTACTCACCCACCAGACCAGCCCTGTACTTGAAAGTCAGGTGTGGGCTTTGCCTCTCTCAAATGTCAGCTCTTTGACAAGAGGGAACTTGCATTTCGAGACTCGTTAAA